ACCATAAAGCAGGGGATGCTTTAGGGCGGGGCTACACGCTGATTGACCCTTTTCACGTCGAAGGGACAAACCCCAAGAAAATTATCACTCGACTCGCTTTTCTCTTACCAAAAAAAGACAATCTAGACGCATACAGTATATGAACATGTTTAATGTTTATTTACATATAACGTCGCAATTTACAACTCATAGCGTCCGCTGATTATAACATAAACAGAACTGCATTTGGGTTTCATTTTGTACATTCACAGACTGCATCAAATGGATGTAGCAGTAAGTAGTTCATGGAGCATGAATTAGATTTAACAGATAGATCAGTAAGTTCTCTGGAGTAAATGTGAATACTGATCAGGAAATCAAAACATTCCTCATTATTCTAAGGCTATGAAAAGCCTTTTTTTGCATACACAATATATACACGCGTGTATGTATGTATGTGTGTGTATATATATATATATATATATATATATATACACGTACATACATACTGAAGTAGTTTCATGACGACATAAAAATGGACTCAAAGCATACACACCAAAACATTTGCTGCACACACTGTACACAATTTGACACATTATAATGATGATGAGCAGATGTATAAATAGATATAAACGTGGTCCTTTGAAAAGTGTCACTACTATTCTAAATGAAAAATCCCCTCGTTTCCTGTAAAGTCCTCAGGTGTCTCTCACGTTTACTGGACTTTTTTGTCCTTGTCGGCCACCACCTCTGACAGATCCTCGGGTCGTATGGATTTAACTTTGGCCTCCATCTCTGTGACCCTCTGCTTCATCCTCGACTGGCCCGAGGTGAACTCCGCCATCAGCTGGGCGAACTTGGTCTGCATGAGATTCAGGTTGCCCTGCAGTCTGTCGATCTTCTCTTCCAGGTCTTTGGGGTCGGCTCCGGCGTTGGCGATTGCCTCGTCGATCAGGTTGTCCTTCATCAGGATGGCTTTGCCCTTCTCCTCCAGAGCCTTTTTGGCATCGGGATACTCGGTGAGAGCCTCCATCAGGTCGTCTTTGGACAGAGCGAAGAGATCAGAGTAACCCACGCTCCGGATGTTGGCTGTTCTCCTGTTTCCTGCTTTGCTGCCCTTGATACCCAAGATACTGATCTCCCCGAAGTACGCACCATCGCTGAGCACTACGAACTGAGTGACCCCGTCGTCGGCCACCACAGCCAGCTTCCCCTCCTTGATGATGTACATCTCCCTGCCAATATCCCCCTTCTTACAGATGTAATCGCCAGGACTGAACACTTGTGGCTGCAGCTTGAGCACCAACTCAATCAGCAGACCGGCTTCGCAATCCTGGAAAATACGCACTTTTTTCAGGGTATCCAAATGGACGTTGATGGCGATCTCGGCCTTGAGCTTGTCTGGGAGGTTCTTCAAAACTTCCTTCTCGTCGCAGGTCTTCTTCTCAGTCCACAGGTAGTCAAACCACTTAATGACCCTGGCCTCCAGGTCTTTGGTGACCTTTCGGAACTGCATGTACTGCTTTATGGAGTCGATCTTCGCCTGGAACTCGGCACGAGAGGCGTTCATGTTGGAGATCATGGCACCGACGTTACCGACAATACTAGCAAAGATCAGCACACCAGTGAGGAAGTCGGCAATGACGAAGACAAATTCAACATCCCTGACTGGTGCAGGGGTCTCTCCGATGGTGGTGAGGGTCAGTGTGGACCAGTACAGGGAGTAGATGTACTTTCTGGCCAAGCGGCCATGCTCTGGGTGGCTGATATTGGGATATACCCAGGTGTCAGTTCCAAAACCAATGGTTTTCGAAATGGCAAAGAACATACACGCATTCCAGTGGATAATAACGAGGATATAAAGTACGAGATTGCTGATACGAAACATGTTTGGGAAGCTGGTTCTGGTTTCAGTCCGCTCAAAGAACTCAAAAAGCCTCGAGATTTTGCAAAGACGGTTGAATCTGAACTCTGGGTTGTTGTATCCGAACTTCAGAAACAGCAGATCGGTGGGTATCATTGAAATCATGTCGTATTTGAACTGAGACGTTGTTCTGTAGTTATTTCTCAGTTTCGTGGCATCTTTTACCAACAGGCCTTGTTCCAGGTAACCTGAGGAACAAACATAACATTAGCAGCCAAATCCAGAACTACAACAGACACAAATTGGTGTTCATCGTAGAAATAGAACAGCAGGAGAACGGACATTAAGCAGGGACTAGTACAAAGGAAAATGGTGGTAGTGGTTGTGGTGATAACAGTGAGGCTGTAAAGTGTTGTCACAGCTCCAGAGACAGATGGCCGCTTGCCACCAGCCTGCTGTACGGCTCATTTTCTGTAACCAGTGTAGCATTAAAGCATGGTGGAATTAGCAAGCTAGCTAACTCACCAACTGTACGCTAGTTACCTAACTAGCTTGTTGGTTCCACCATGTCTTAAAGCCACCCTGGTTACAGAAAATATAGCAATGTGCATTCCTATGCTGTGACATTAAGTTGTCAAGTTGTACTTGTTTACTCTTTGCTCTAAGCTTCGTAACGTTACTACCATAGTCTGTTAATAAGAAGTGGATGTTTTTAAGCCTCGGTTTTGGCGATTTTCCCATCGCCATCTTGTTTTTTTTGGAACCAGTGAACAGGAAGTGAGCATATCTGGACTGAGGAGGAGTGATGTAGAGACGCCGTATACGTCTCTGGTAGAGACCTGTCAATCACC